CAGTGGAAACACACACACCCACCTGCTTTCTTCCTGCAGCTCACATCTGATTAACCACTTCCCCCCCCCCCCCCCCCCCCACACCCCCCCACACACACACACACACACACACACACACACACACACACACTACATCCTGCACCTACATCAACTCACATCCTGTTCTACTTAGTGAGCAACAACCTGCTGTCTGGAAATGTTCACTGAGGTTTCATGAAAATTAATTAAGTTTATTAAATTAAGCTCGAGCTCATTTAAAAGACTTTAACTTTTGTAGACGGATGAGTTTGTCTTCATGTGTCAGCTGCAGCCAACATGTTATTACATCCTCTGACCACCAGGGGGCGTCAGAACCTTCTCATCCAGCTTCAGACTGCTCTACATTTATCTTGGACTTTAACAACATTAGATTTTAATCGACGCCTCAAACGTGAGCTCGAATGATGAAAATTAATAAATGAATAGTCACAACATCAAGTTCAGCGTTTCTCACATCATCACACAAAGAGTGCCCCCCCCCCCCGACGAGACGAGCGACCTCCCAAAGTAAGTAACCACTGAAGATTATTAATATAAAATACAAACCGGATTCCAAAAAAGTTGGGACACTAAACAAATTGTGAATAAAAAGTGAATGCAATGATGTGGAGGTGCCAACATCTAATATTTTATTCAGAATAGAACACAAATCACAGATCAAAAGTTTAAACTGAGAGAATGAATCATTTTAAGGGAAAAATCTGTTTCCTAATTTCATGGCGTCAACAAATCCCAACAAAGTTGGGACAAGTCCATTTTTACCACTGTGTGGCATCCCCCCTTCTTCTTCCAACACTCAACAGACGACTGGGGACAGAGGAGACCAGTTTCTCCAGTTTAGAAATAGGAATGCTCTCCCATTCATGTCTAATACAGGCCTCTAACTGTTCAATCGTCTTGGGCCTTCTTTGTGGCACCTTCCTCTTTATGATGTTCAAATGTTCTCTGTAGGTGAAAGATCTGGACTGCAGGCTGGCCATTTCAGTACCCGGATCCTTCTCCTACGTAGCCATGATGTTGTGATTGCTGCAGAATGTGGTCTGGCATTATCGTGTTGAAAAATGCAGGGTCTTCCCTGAAAGAGATGACGTCTAGATGGGAGCATATGTTGTTCTAGAACCTGAACATAGTTCTCTGCATTAATGGTGCCTTTCCAGACATGCAAGCTGCCCATACCACAAGTGCTCATGCAACCCCATACCATCAGTGATGCAGGCTTCTGAACGGAGCGTTGATAACAACTTGGGCTATCCTTGTCCTCTCTGGTCCGGATGACATGGCGTCCCAGTGTTCCATAAAGAACTTCAAATCGTGACTCATCTGACCACAGAACAGTCTTCCATTTTGCCACACTCCATTTTAAATGACCCCTGGCCCAGTGCAAACGTCTGAGCTTGTGGAGCTTGCTTAGAAATGGCTTCCTCTTTGCACTGTAGAGTTTCAGCTGGCAACGGCGGATGGCACGGTGGATTGTGTTCACTGACAATGCTTTCTGGAAGTATTCCTGAGCCCATTCTGTTATTTCCTTGACAGTGGCATTCCTGTTTGAGGTGCAGTGACGTTTAAGGGCCCGGAGATCACGAGCATCCAGTAGAGTTTTACGGCCTTGACCCTTACGCACAGCGATTGTTCCAGATTCTCTGAATCTTTTGATGATGTTATGCACGGTTGATGATGATAACTTAAAAGTCTTTGCTATTTTACGCTGGGTAACACCATTCTGGTATTGCTGCACTATCTTTCTGTGCAACAATGGTGGAATTGGTGATCCTCTTACCATCTTGGCTTCTGAGAGACACTGACACTCTGAGAAGCTCTTTTTATACCCAATCATGTTGTCAATTGACCTAATTAGTGTTAATTGGTCTTCCAGCTGTTCGTTATATGCTCAATTTCCTTTTTCCAGCCACTTATTGCTACTTGTCCCAACTTTTTTGGGATTTGTTGACACTGTGAAATTTTGAATCAACATATTTTTCCTTTAAAATGTTACATTTACTCAGATTAAACTTTTGATCTGTCATCTATGTTATATTACGAATAAAATATTGACATTTGCCGTCTCGACATCATTGCATTCAGTTTTTATTCACAATTTGTTTAGTGTCACAACTTTTTTGGAAGCCGGTTTGTATTATGATTATAAAACACTAAAAAGAAATGCAGCAAACTGCTGCACATGAAAGAATATAAAGATGAAACCAAACAAAAGATGAAAGATTAAACCGCAGCGTGGTGGTTCAGTTGGTAGAGCTGCCACCTCTCAGGAAGGTCGATGGGTCAAATCCCGGCCTGAGGCCGTTCTGGGTGGAGTTTGCATGTTCTCTCCGTGCTGCCTGGGTTTTCTCCCACAGACCAAAAACATACCGCGGTAAAAACATGCATGTTAGACTGATTGGTAACTCTAAATTGTCCTAGGTGTCTCTGTGATGGACAGAAGACCCGTCCATGTGTCCCTGTGATGGACTGGAGACCTTTCCAGGTGTCCCCAGGTGATGGATAAAATATGATCATCCAGTGATGCATGTCTCGTATCCACTTGAATATCTTGCAGTAAAAACATTTAGGTTTACTCACAATTTAAATCCCTCAGCAACGGGGACATTGGCGTACTGCTTGTCAAACACATATTTGCACTTTTTTGTTGATTAAAATGACAAAAGAAATTCATGTTTTAGTCTGAACTGATGATGTTTTGTGTTTTTTGATGGTTAAATAAAATGATAAACATTTGCTTCGTATCAGATTCTTCTGTTTGACACGTTGTTACGTTACTGAAGACATCAGGGTGCACGTGGGCTCCCACAGGAAGCAGACACTTCAAACTATCCACTAATCTGGAATATTTTAGTCCACGACCAAAACCATTGTTAGTGTAAGCCCCGCCCACAAGAAGCATCAGCCGACTCGCGTCCAGTTTAAAGTAAATTTAATAAAGAACATGTATGATCACAAGCCACAGAAATAAATCTGCTGTTTTAACGGGTGAAGCTAATAGAAACGGTACAGAAACGACATGAAGGGACAAAGACGAACGCTGAAACAAACGTCTGAAGGCAGGAAATGAGTTTGTGTTCAGAAACTAGGGAACATGAAGACAAACGGACTCCTCTGAGTCGGAGAACGACGTCTGTCGAGCAGAGTCAGGACAGTGGAGGGAATCATGATCGTTTCCTACATGGAACAACCTGCTCTTGATTACAAACATTTAAGTCTTTTCTTCTTGGTTTTGAACCGACACCCACACTGGACCTTTAATCCAAGCTACAAAGAGTCGTCGTCCTGAAAACACCGCCAGCCGTAAAGATTTATAAAACCAGTTCTCTAACAGACATGATGAAGAACATTATTCTGTACGCTCGATAGGAAAGAACACCGAAATAAATCAAACTAAATATTAATAAATCAACAAACATCAAAGTAAAACAAACTAAGCATGAGTTGTTTTCGGATCAGTAAAAGTATTTTAAACAGAGAAAGTGTTTTTTTAAGAAGACTTTGTAACGTCTGTCCGTCGTCGGCTCAAATGTTTATTAACACAAAGGGTCTTGATTGAACACGATAAGAAACTAGAAAGAAAACTTCCATTTACGTCCTGAAAGGTCACGACGTCTGCGTCCGGGCTGAGCGTGAGGAACACGAGGGTCTGACGTCCAGGAAGTTTCTGACCGAGTCCAACCAGTCTCACTGTTTCAGACCAAGTCGTTACAGTTGGAAGAGCCAAGTCCTAAAAACACAACACGGTTGTGTGCACGGCTCGCAGGGCCATAATGTAGGCTGTGCACATTATTTTGTCCCCTGACTCCGCCCACACCGTCATGTTTTATACACAAATTAAAACACTTATGCTTTGATCTACTGGATACACATTAAAAAGAAGATGAGTGGGATCAGAAATACTCTCCGTGCACGTTGTGAGCATGATAACTTGAAAAATAATTGAGGTGCAGAACTTCCGTTTTGGTGTGTGGCTGCATCGAGACGTAAGAAAGGTCATCATTGGAAACTGGGTCGATGCACCAAAACTCAAGATGGCCACCGCCACATACATGTGCAACCGACCACCCCTTATGTTAGAAGCAACTGATTTCTAGTTTCTATCTTTCTTAAAAGTATAGTTTACTCAAATGATGGGGTGGCCGAAGATTAATCTATGGGGCCAAGGCCACCATTGGCCAACCCCTGTCTCCAATTGATCTATGAGGACCAAGGCCACGACTTGGCTCCAATTAATCTATGGGGGCCAAAGCCATCATTGGCCACCCCGTCTCCAATTTGTCTATGGGGACCAAGGCCACCACTTGGCTCCAATTAATCTATGGGGGGCCAAGGCCACCATTGGCCACCCCCTGTCTCCCAATTGATCTATGGGGACCAAGGCCACCACTTGGCTCCAATTAATCTA